GTCAAAAACACCTTCGGGTAAGACTTCGAATCATCAAACCCTCCGAAGGCCTAATGAGAGTATGCACCTGGCTCGCACGCTCGCAGAATGACGGTACCGAGGCTAAACGCAGCCGGTCAGTCAGCCCAAACCCTTAAAGTAATTATCCAATATAATGGGAGGCTAAATAACTTTCTCGTCGGATCGCAGCCGTATCGAGTTTCCTCTGAAAAATCGTCTGTGACAGCGCTGGAGCCCCGAGATACACCGTGCCATGGTAGGACACAGTGGTAAGAACACTCCTCCTCCTCTCCTCACAAGGGACTTATCGGGCAAAGACAGATTCGCAACCTCAGGCGTGCAAGCTTATGGGTTGCAGGGAGTGCTGTGGTTCTGGCGAGCAAACTAGGCCGACTACTGTGTGCGTGTATGGGTACTAGCAGGGTGGGACGAAGGATAGGCAAACTGAACTGCCAAACTTGCTACCTTCGCACCCCCACCGCACCATCTCTCAGAGAGACAGGGCTGTTGCTTATGTACATAACAAACCCCCGCCCACCCCGTTCCGGGGAGACCACACTTGAACTTCGGACTAGTCCTACTTGGCACTGGAACAACGTGTGCGCGCCCTTGTTCGAGGCAGTTGCAGCAATTCGTTTTGAATGCGAAAAAAACGCAGGCACGCACGGATACACAAAATGGTGTGTAGTAAACAAATGTCTCCCCACTCGTTGATGAACGTTCATCGACGGCTAACGGAACTCACTTGTCCCGCTCTGCCTCGGGACTCATTTCTCGGGCCCCGGCAGCAGCCGTTAGCGATTGGTGAACGTTAACCAAACGCGTATCAGTATCCCACGATCTAAACCGGCCAGACAACGAGCCCCTGGCTCAATGGTCAAAGAGTTAGATATCTGATCAAAAGGTCGTGAGTGCAAGTCTCGGATGGTGCACAACTTGGAGCAGGGTATGACTGGCTGATGATGGTTAATGAGCCCGAAATGGCCGTTCCGCTTTCTCTCTTGTCTTTGCGTGTAACGCTGAATGTCTCCTCCTACAAGAACCGCAGGGCTGCCAAAGTTTCCCTAACCAGCGTAGAAATCCAACTTTGCCTGTAAAAAGACAGTGTCTCCTTTGGCGTTGATTCAGATGCGCAGTTATCTTTTTGTTTATTTTTTTGCCCAAAGGTAGTAGGTGATGTACGCGAAGGAAAACGTGCGCGAAAGTACGTGCAGGTGGGGGAGGGGTGATTAACAAGACAGATTGGGGGCGGAAGGTGTATCGAAAGCACAAAATAGTAGCAGCAACAACTTCCCGGAGAGGGGGTGGCGCATTCCAGCAACCTTTTCTTCATAAATAAGCATAATTGGGGTTGGGGAGGGGGGTGGTAGAAGTAGGGAGGAACCAGCAGACAGGCGCTAGGGCAGGCGGAGTCGGGTGGGGGGATGCAACAAACACACATTCACGCACACGCAGAGGAAGGAAGAGGC